ATGGCTTCATTGACAGAAACCTATTTCTTGATATTAATAACCTTCTATATTTTCAGCTAATCCAAAAGTAAATGAGGAACTTAGGAAAAGATTGCCAACTCCAAATCAACACGGTTACACAGAATTGAAAAAGAAGCGTACAGCTTCATTTGAGGGACTCTTGTAAGGAACTCAGTGTTCTGTGATATGAGATGAAGTTATTTTTTTGTTAAGACCTAAGCGCATCAAATTATACACAATTTTTTTTCTCATGCACATTTATGGTTAACAACAAATATGAGCTAAATATGTATTTCTTGAATGCTTACTGTAAATGTTAGTGTTGAATCTTAAGTGTTTGCACAATTATTTTACTTTTCTATAACCTCAAAGGTAAAAATGAAAACTTCTGCCTTTTTGGTGTTGTATAGGAAAAGAATGTCTTCTGCTGCTTTATTAATTAGAACATAAGTCTTGGTATAATATGCTTGAATTTTAAAATGTATACTTAATTTTTTTTTTTTTTTAACCTCTTACATTTATCAGCACAATGACAACTCTGGGTATTTTCATGATCCAGCCACTGCCTTTTCACGGCATATGTTGTATCTTTTTAATAAACGTAGAAAAAATATAGCAGGGAAAACATACAAAATAAGCACAACTACGTAGTTAAAGATGAAAAATTGTCCCTTGTATGGTACATTTTAAAAGAGGTGTAAATAATAAAATTACTGGTAAGATTACTAATTTATTTACATTTCCTTGAGATATAGAACATAGTTGAATTTTTAACATATAAAAGAGCATATATTTTAACACTCAAAGTGTTACCTGATAAGCATAACATTTTACTGTAGGTCTTATTTTTGAGTATTGAGGGTTGTTTCTTGAAGATCTTTGATTATATGAAATACTGCAACTGTGTAATTAACTGTATAGTCTGAAGCAATATGTATGCAAATATTAGGATGGATTATTTAGCTATTTAGAAAAACCTGCAAATTCAGAGTTGGAGTGGTCATGGGCCACTTTACCTGTATTTTATCCAGGAAATTAAAGCAGGAGAAAGAATGTTGTCAAGTGAAGCGCATACCACCATCTGTAATAATTACCAAAGTTAGCAGTCTCATTGCCTCTAGCGGGACCACTCAGTGTGATTTGGGCTGTGCTCAGTAGCATGTACTTCCAAGACCAGACTCTAGAACAAGACGACAAACTAATAAATTTTTCAACGAAGGTGTTACATGCATCAGAAAGCTGAACCAAACCATTATAAAAATTAGATATGTGAAGAAAAAATATTTTACTGAGAAATATAATTTATGACTGACTGTTAAAGTACACAGAGTTATTGTCCTGTTATAAATATTTTTAAATCATTTGTCTCGTAAATTTTCTGTCAAATGAAGGCAAAGTATAGGTGTGTTATAATACACTGTTTCAAGTTTATTTATCTAGAGTTTGCTTTATTTTAGCTCTGAAATCGTCAAGCAAAAACTGGACTCAGTGCCAGATCAAACAAGTTCAGAAGAACAAATGGAGAACTGGTCAAAAGGTAAGGACTTTTAAGATATTAATAAGGAACCTCAGGTGTTGTACCAGTGCTAGGCAGTGACTGGAATGTATTTGTTCTTACCGATATATGACTGACTTTGGAATAAAAGAAAAAAAAAAAAACAATCCACAACCACACACTGCCTCTTGAAAGTATTTTGGGTAACAGGAGCACAGCTACAGGAATATAAATCATCAGCTTTATTTTTATTTTCTGTGTTACTGAAAATGTTTTTGTATAATTTTGAGAACTCTTATTTAAATTCTTAGTCTCTACATTGCACTTTACTTTTCAACCTCTATTCCTTAATGGGTTAACAACAAATCTGAAGTCTGTCTTAAAATAACTTTCTTGGCTAATCACTCCTGACTAGAGTATGATTAAGCCATCTACTAATATTAATGAGTTTCTCATTATTACCTCAACTGAATATAGGCAGTAAGGTAGCTTGCAGTAGAGGGGGCCCTGGTTAATTTGGAACTTCCATGGTTCATGGAGTTTTCATCTCCAGCAGGATGGAAGGATCTTTTTGTGTTTGGATGACCAAAATTTTGCTCTCAGTTTCTGCCATGAAACATAGAAGAATGTATCTAAAAAAGAAACAAAAAAAAAAAAAGAAAAGGAAAAAAAGAAGCGCAGAGTTTGAGAGCACATTGTGACTGACTGACTTTACAAAAGAGAATTGTCAGAAAGTGATTTGTGACTAGATAATAATGTGTAGATTGAAGAAAGGGAAAGACACAGGAAGCAGACCTTCAGTACATCATAAAAGGGTGGATTTTTTCCAGTGGCTATGTGTAGGTTAAAAAAAAAAAAATTGAATACGTGTGTCAACATCAAAGATGCCTCCTCTATCAGAGCCTTATAGCATCTTGTGTATTTCCTTTTTTTGAATTTTATACTGTGTATTCTTTCTCAAAAGATGGTAAATGTCAAGTTTCTCATGAAGAGTCTATTGTTTAGAAGAAAATAAAAATACTCCACCTTGGAGATGATGCATTTCTTACATATGTAAAGGAATTTCTATCTATATTATGTAATATAAACTACTTGTAGACCCCTTTTAATGCTTGGAATTTTGAGCTACTGAGTGAAGTTAAAAATGTTTTTGAATCATATACTCTGAAAACAAAAATAGTCATGGTGGAGTAACTTAGTGGAGAATTGTATTCTGACAACTTATACTTTAAATGTGCAATGGCTTAATCAGATTTACTATTTTTAGACCTTTAGGGGTCAGCATACCCTAAGAATGGTTCAAAAGGTTAACTTTTCCAAAGTAGGCAAGTGAATACCATAAACTGATTCTCTTGAAATATTTTCTGTCTAATTGCAAGAAATGGCGTTCTGCTGCTGCTCACAGATACTTTAAAAACTGGGTAGTTACTGAGTTTCATGTGTATTATTTTTCTCATGCATTAAGTTAATATTTTGTGCTGTTTAGAAAGCTATTTCTTCCAAGTTAACACTTAGTATTTGTGTATCCAATAGAAGTTTTTATATAGACAAAAGTAAAATTGATACACTTTGTTTAGATTAGTCATTAATAAGTCACATAATTCTTTATGCTTTTACTCCTAGGGAAGTTAAAAAAAGGGATTATGGATAAATCTTATGTCATCATACTGGTTTGGATGAGGAATTTTTTTTTTTCTTAGAATTTTATTTGGGTATTAACAATTAAATTACATTTTCTTATCGTAAAGAAAATAGATAAATTACAGCAACATAATGTTCAATATGTACCCTTGGTAGATATTCTGGTACATTTTCTCATTGAACTACTAAATCAAAGCAACTTTAATCTTCTGTTTAAATGTCTATGTTGAAGTGTGTACCGTTTTGTGTTCCGCTTGCTTTGTCATCTGTGGTATCTTTCCTTTTTGTGGCTGGTACTGTACTGTATCTAGTTGTTCCTTGCTTGTTACTTGGAAGTTTAAAAGCTGTTTTTTAGAATAACCCTATAATGATTTATTCAAAATTTTTTTTATAACATACTGAAATGTTGGAGGTTAAATTATTTGTCAAAAAATAAGGATGGTAAAGCACGACTGATGAAAATTAAGTCAAGCAATGAGAATTTTAAAAAAATAGCAAAAATGTTAGGCACAGAGAAGTGGTGGGTTTATGGCGGTTATGTGGGATAATATGTAACCTGTCAAAAAATGTTGTAAAAGAAAATATTTGAAAGAAAGGTAGTGTTTAAGAAGAGTATATCTGAAGTGTTTGATAGTTGAGATTTTCTTTTTAACTTTGTTTGGAATATAATATGTCTGTCTGGATTGAATACATTTGTCTGTCTCTGTTCTGGTATATTAGGAAGAGTTAAAGAACAGTCTGTGTGCAAGGCTTATTATTTTGGGTTTTTATCTAATTTAAATGTACTGTTTATCTCCACAGCACCTAGTTTTTAATAGGAGGATAGTGACTTTTCATTTCTCCATAAAAATACTTGAGAGAATGTATCAGGAGCATTGGCAGCAGGCCAGTGAAGACTGTGTAATTTCCAAATGAAAAATATTCAGGATCCAAGCTAGAAAGCCTAGGATGGTAGTCCATTATAAAAATAAACTTATATTGGCAAATAGGTGCATATCTCTGCATTGTGGGGGCGAGGGGGGGAGCACACTGCACCTGGGTGGAGTTGTTACTTTAGCGGGGTTTACATGCATGACGAAAACTGCACAAACATTAAACTGTGAAAACACAAGACGGAACCTGAAATAGGGTGCTTTTTCATACTTACATATACTTTCAGGACTCGATATGTCGATTTTCCAAAAGAGTTAGCAGGATAGGAAAGTGGTGAGCGTGCAAATACTGGAGTTAAATTTGTGTTTCATTTGATTCATATCATGTACTGTGTTTGAATGGGTGCAGCTATGTTTGTTCTGTATTATATAGTCTTTCACTATTGTAATGTTTTTGCTTGTGTCGTATTTCTGAGCATCTATGATTTTTAAGGACAAGGTAGAAATTAGGTGAAGTCTTAGAATATCAAGTACCATTTGGTCTGTTTTGACAACAAAATTGTAATTTTGCTGACTCCAAAATACATTGTAGGATTATTATTTGGAATTTCCTAAAACAATGTAATAGATTGATTATTTTTAATGGCAAAGTGGTTTGCTTCCTTAAAAGGTGATTATTGTATTTTTCAAGCATAGAAATAAATCTATTTCTAAACCACTACTTAAAGCACATATTGAAGTGAAGTCAATGAACCAATTTCACCTGTAAGAATTTTATGTCAACTCTTAGTTGTGATCCATATAGATACTTTCACTGTAACTTGTTATCGTTCAAAAGAATGTTTGTGCAGCTTGTAAAAATACTTTAAAATTGCATGTCTGGAAACTAGTTCAGGGGACACTCTAGCTTTAAAGAGATGTGATAATGTAGATTGGAACAGAACTGCAGAATCAGCTTGTGTGGGAAAATTTGAAAAGTAAGTGTTTTATCTGGTGGTGAGCTGTTGTTTTCCAATCTTGCTCCCTTCAAGAAAAATAGAAGAGGAAAACAGATATGCAAACCTAATGAGCAAGTTATGTATATACAGCTGCTCAGACACATGTGCATGTGATAAGCTTACACGTAGACAATTGTCTTAATTGCATTGTGTGTTTGTGCATGCATTGGTCTTGCATGAATGCATGGTGCTTACTGTTAAGAATCTGGCTATGGCTTTCCTTGTATTGTCATGGTCATGACGTGTATGTGCCAGTGTATTGTTTACAAAAATATTTTTTAGTTCTTTTGCTGTATAGTGAATAATATTCAGGAAATAAAACCTCTCTAGAAATATTTTTGCATTTATTTACTCCCATTTATAAATTCCATTAATTGTCAGCCATCCCTTTTGCATTCATGGTAATTGAGGCAACGTACAGTCATATGCATAGGTTAAGTAAAATGAATCATCTTTTTTTGCTAACTTCCTAGAAGTGAAACTCCTGTTCCTCACCAAGTATTTGTAGACTATCTTATTAGAAGTAGTATGTTTTTCTAGTTGTGTAATGATTTTGATGTACTTTTTTGTGGGTTTGGTTTTGTGTTAGTAATTACAAGGAGTTTTTGTCTGGAATTACTGTTGTGTGACTTTAACATACACACACACACAAAGATGAAGGGGTAAAGAAAGCTTTGAGAGTAGTGTAGTGTTGTAGAGATTTTTCATCTGATGCTCTAGTTGGGTCAAAAAGCAACTAATTGTAAAGGTGCTGCTTCCCCTTTCTCCAGAATACACCCATTATAGCTGTAAACATTCTAAAGTAAATCTGAAGCCCTTCTTCCAAGGCTGTAGTAGAGGCAGAATAAACCATACTTGTCATATTGAAGTCTGTTTCTTCTTTTACATGCCTTAATAGGAGATACTGTGAGACTGTTCTTCCTCTCCTTCCCTCTTTTAGCAATGAGGAATGGTGTTTACCTGGGAAAGAAAGAAGACCTGGATATTGCATGGGTGTGTATGCAGAAGAATCTACGTGATATGCAGAGGCAGTGTCCTCTACATGCATGTAGCTCAATTGATTAGTGTCTTCCATGTATGCTGTGCTTTCAGCATCGAACTCGCTCTGTGCTAGCTGTCAGAGATCCTCTTGCAAAGTGGCAAGCGTAGTTGTACGTTTCTCTGCACAGTATAGAGAGGTAGAGAGGATGATCTCTTGCATGAGTCAAACATAGGAAGAGTGGCTAGTAACTGTTGAGCAGCACTAAGTATGGAAGATGAAGAAAACATCTTGCATGGAAAAAGAGGGAGTAGTGTGCAATGACTTAGAAGATAAAAAGGAGCTAATGATAACTGAAAAATCATCAAATACTGTCTGGTCTTTCCTGTAAATATAATCACCCTTTCATGTGTATAAATTCTCATGTCTCCTTTTTCCATCCATTTCTTCCCTTGTACATTTTGAATGGTTAAATACAGTGCATTTCTGGCCAGGCTGCGTGCAGAAAGACTCCTCATCAGAAGCACAATCAAGTATCCAGTATCTGCCTGA